CCCCAGAGATGCCCATGGGTCCCCCCAACACCTCCAACCCCAGAGATGCCCCATGGATTCCCCAGACACCTCTAACCCCAGAGATGCCCACGGATTCTCCAACCCCTGAGATGCCCCATGGGTTCTCCAACCCCAGAGATGCTCCATGGATTCCCCCAACCCCTCCAACCCCAGAGATGCCCATGGGTTCTCCAGATACCTCCAACCCCAGAGATCCCCATGGGTTCCCCAGACACCTCCAAACCCAGAGATCCCTATGGGTTCTCCAACCCCTGAGATGCCCCATGGGTTCTCCAACCCCAGAGATGCTCCATGGATTCCCCCAACCCCTCCAACCCCAGAGATGCTCCATGGGTTCTCCAGATACCTCCAACCCCAGAGATCCCCATGGGTTCCCCAGACACCTCCAAACCCAGAGATCCCTATGGGTTCTCCAACCTCCAAGATGCTCATGGGTTCTCCAGACACCTCCAACCCCAGAGATCCCCATGGGTTCCCCAGACACCTCCAAACCCAGAGATCCCTATGGGTTCTCCAACCTCCAAGATGCTCCATGGGTTCTCCAGATACCTCCAACCCCAGAGATGCCCCATGGGTTCTCCAACCCCAGAGACCCCCATGGGTTCTCCAACCCGCGAGATGCTCCATGGGTTCCCCCAACCCCTCCAACCTCAGAGATCCCCATGGATTCTCCAACCCCAGAGATGTCCTATGGATTCCCCCAACACCTCCAACCCCAGACATCCCCATGAGTTCCCTGGACACCTCCAACCCCAGAGATCCCCATGGGTTCCCTGGACACCTCCAACCCCAGAGATCCCCATGGGTTCCCTGGACACCTCCAACCCCAGAGATCCCCATGGGTTCCCTGGACACCTCCAACCCCTGAGATGCCCCCGGAGCCACCTCGGCCCCGTTCCCTCCTCCCTTGCACCGCGTCCCCCTCTCACGCTCGCAGACGGGCTTCGGGCTGCTCCAGCGTCCCAGCTTGGTGCAGTTGCTCCGGGCGCTTCCCACCAACCGGAATCCTCCGTCGCAGCTGTACTCCAACCACGTGCCCTCCACCGGCACCCTCTCCATACCCCGCGCCACCGCCTGTCCGTTCTCCAAGCTCAGGTGCATCTTGGGGCACGTCCGCACTGCCGGAACGGGGACGTCACCCCAACACACACACGTGGACACGTTCCCGTTGGGATGGTGGCTCCGGGGACACTCACGGCAGCGGCTGGGGTGGCCCATGGCGGTCCAGGTCCCGTTACGTTGACACTTCCGGACCTTGGGCCCCACAATCTCACGGTCGGGCCGACACACGTACTCGATCTCGTAGTCGAAGGGCAGGAAGCGGACGCTCTGCACCTCCTCCGGCGTCAGCCCGCGGTAGCGGATAACCCCGTCCCGCGGGGG